GACGCTGAACAGCACTGAGAGATCTGCAGAGAAGAGCTCATCAGCTCAGACTCAACCTCAACCATGTTCAGCACATCTCTAACACTGCTGATGATCACTAGTCTACCATGTACGTCTCAGGATTAGAATAAGAGAATGAAATAGCAGAGAAAATCTTTCTGTGATCATGTTTCATTCAGAACTTTAATTCTTCTTCTTTTCTGCAGGTTTTCAGAGTCAGACTCTCACTCAGTCTGAAGCTGTGGTTAAAACACCTGGACAATCTCATAAACTGACCTGTACAGGATCTGGATTCTCATTCAGTGGCTCTGCTATGGCCTGGATCAGACAGGCTCCTGGGAAAGGACTGGAGTGGATTGCAGTCATATACACTGGAAGCACTCCGATCTATTATTCCCAGTCAGTCCAGGGAAGATTCACGATCTCCAGATCCGACTCCAGCAGTCAGCTGTACTTACAGATGAGCAGCCTGAAGAGTGAAGACACTGCTGTGTATTACTGTGCTAGAAACTCACAGTGATAGAAAACAGTGACAGAGCTGTACAAAAACACTTCCTCATTCAGTTACAGAGAAGAGCAGTCAGTGTTAAAATGACTTACTGTTTGTTTCAGAAGATTTAATTTTGACAAGTTAATTAGCATTAGGACCAGAATGAACTTGTCTAAAACAAATATGAAGTTCTCATAACCTTTAATAACACAATAACATTTAATTCATTCATGCTGTGTATGAAAATAAAAAGTGATCAAGCAGTACAAAGTGATGCAATTGTGAGCACATCTACCCACCAGAGGGCAACGAAACCTCATAAATGAAGTTCTGTAGTGGACAATTTATTGGTTGTCTTGTGCAACTTACCTTCATAGCTGAAGATACACAGCACAGTGCAACAGTCAGAAAGCACCCTTTACTCATTTAATTGCCTGTGAATAAAATACAAAATAAAACACAGTTAGTTTTTTCATTGTCAAAAAAAAGTATAAAACATATTTAACAAATAATTACACAGATGCCTCAACAACTAAATACAATATCATTTTTCAGTATTTAGTGTGTCCACCTTTTGTCTATAATAGAGCTTCCATTCTTTTCAGGAGACTCACTATCAGTTTTCAAAGAAATTTGCATGGATATTTTTCCACACCTCCAAAATTCAGTCTTAGAAGTTGGTTTAGCATTTTCGCTTCTCAAAATCCAAGTAATCCCAAACACATTCAGTGATGCTGAGGTCTGGACTTTGGTGTAGTCTGTCTATTGCTCTGAGGAGACCAGGAGTTTCTTTGTTTGATGTATCTGTTTCCTTTTCTCAGTCAGGCTTCTTAACAGCTACACATCCTTTCAGACCCATAGTGCTGAGTCGTCTTCTCACAGTAGAAAGATGGACAGAAACACCTGTGAATGTTTTCAGATCTGAAGCAGCTTAATTTTCTCTTCTCTCTCAAAGATGAAAGCTTTAAGTGCTGTTTTTCTGATGGAGACAGTTTTAGTGGTCTACCAGTTCTTGTATAGTGGTAAGGGGTCTCATTTTCTCTATTGTGGCTTGTGCTGTCCTCTAGATGCTTGTGAGGCGTCCACACCATGAGAAACACATTAAACAACTCGAAGGTGACCATCGTCTAGCTGAGCTCAGTCAGCAGCAGCGGAGTTGGGGTCCCTGCACACACAAGTGCCATTCATGCTGGTGTCGATGGCGCAATGGGCGGAGGGAGTGAATGGCAGCCAGGTAGAGCACCATTGTTGCTACTGTCGCCTCCAGCTGCGTCAGACTTGACATGGCGCATTGTGTGCGAGGTCACAGCCCTGAGTGAAGACTGGGGGCTCTTGCCGACGAGAACTGAGGGCACAGGAGTGTTTATGCTAGCTAGGACTGTGCACATGCCGAGGGATTGGCTCGAGCTGGGACGTGACCGGGGATGGTCGACCTTAAAGTGGGGGCTATGTAGTAACCTGTTACCAGCTGGTGCTGGCCTCTAGATGCTTCTAAGGCTTGCCTATGCTGATGGCCATAAAAGGAGACTCATAGGAGGTGCACAGCCTCCAGAAAAAGGACCTAAACATTGTTTACGTTCTTTGTAGTCTAAAGAAATGTATATGTGTTCAATTTGTTGTTCTGTGTCAGGGAGTGGGTTTAGTTAGTGCCGGTTGAAGGTCACCTGAGGGTGAAATGTATGGCTAGTGGTGTTCTCTACCCTGACTTCAGTACTGTGTGTGCCTTTCTGTGTGGTGTTCAATAAAGAGCACTACTCTTGGTAGAATCCCCTCCCCTGTGCCTTACACTATGCCAATGCTACAATATGTTAATAATTGTTGTACTCCAATTTTACACCAATTATTACAGTTTTTTTCAGTATTTATTTTCCTTTGACTTTCCTCTTTATTAGGCAAGTGGATTATCGTTTATCTAATTTCCTCAGAAAAAATCTCCTGAAAAACGATTAACTACTTAACGGCCGTTGACTGGACACTTAAAAAAAAAGAACGTTGGTCTCTGACATCTGCACAGAACTGTAATTACTGTAGAATATTTTTTTGTTTTTAAACATTTTTCAAATGGCTGTGGAGAAGGACAGATCAAGCAGTCAAAAATATCTAATAAGATAAAAATATATAAACAACAGTTTTGTGTTAGCTTCAACTTTAACTGAAGATACAACAAACACTTAAATGGATACACTCACAAGTAAAATAGACCTATTGTGAGATAAATAGAGTCAGTGTTCTAAGTGTACATAAGCATATACAGTTATCAGATGAGTGAGGTAATCACCTCCGAAACTGAAACTATGCAAATCCTCCTCCTCCCTTTATGAAGAGACGCTGAACAGCACTGAGAGATCTGCAGAGAAAAGCTCATCAGCTCAGACACAACCTCAACCATGTTCAGCACATCTCTAACACTGCTGATGATCACTAGTCTACCATGTACGTCTCAGGATTAGAATAAGAGAATGAAATAGCAGAGAAAATCTTTCTGTGATCATGTTTCATTCAGAACTTTAATTCTTCTTCTTTTCTGCAGGTTTTCAGAGTCAGACTCTCACTCAGTCTGAAGCTGTAGTTAAAACACCTGGACAATCTCATAAACTGACCTGTACAGCTTCTGGATTCACATTCAGTAGCTATGCTATGGTGTGGGTCAGACAAGCTCCTGGGAAAGGATTGGAGTGGATCGCATTCGTACACACAAATAGCAATCCCATCTCCTATTCCCAGTCAGTCCAGGGAAGATTCACGATCTCCAGATCCGACTCCAGCAGTCAGCTGTACTTACAGATGAACAGCCTGAAGAGTGAAGACACTGCTGTGTATTACTGTGCAAGACACTCACAGTGATAGAAAACAGTGACAGAGCTGTACAAAAACACTTCCTCATTCAGTTACAGAGGAAAACTGCTGCTATGTAGTCAAAGTTAGGAGCACTTAATGTTTGTTTTCAGAAGATCTACTTTTGACAAGTACATCAGTAATAAGACAAAATATACTTGTTTAAAACAAATGTGAAATTCTCATGACATTGAATTCATTTTTGTTGTATATGAAAATAAAAAAATGTGTAATTCAGGGTCCATCTCTGCACCAGAGGTCAGCATGACCTCATAAATGAAGATTTGTAGTGGGCAACTTAATGATTGTCTTGGGCAACTTACCTTCATATCTGAAGATACACAGAACTGCACATCAGTCAGAAACCAGCCTTTACTTATGTAATTTCCTATTTAAATGACCATGAAATACAAGTGAATTATTTTTCAGTGTCAAGAAAATAGCATAAAACATATTTCACCAGTAATTATACAGAAGCCTCAGCAACTAAATATATTTTTTTCTGTATTTAATGTGTCCACCTTTTGTCTTTATTACAGCTTCTATTCTTTCAGGAGTCTCGCTTTCAGCTTTCAGAGAAATTTTCAGGGATATTGTTCCACACCTCTAAAGTTCTGGCTTAGACGTTGGTTGTATTTTTGCTTCTCACAATCCAAGTAATCCCAAGCACATTCAGTCATGTTGAGGTCTGGACTCTGGCTTGGTCAGTCCAGTGTTCTGAGAAGACCAGCTTCTTTGTTTGGTTTGTAAATTTCCTTCTTTTTTTTTGTCTCCTTTTCTCAGTGAGGTTCTTCTCAACAGCTACACATCCTTTCAGACCCATAGCACTGAATTGTCTTCTAACAGTGGAAGGATAGACAGAAACACTTGTGGATGTTTTCAGATCTGAAGCAGCTTGATTTTCTCCTCTCTGTCAAAGATCAAAGCTTTAAGTGCTGTTTATCTGATGGGGACAGTTTTGGTGGTCTACCATGTCTTGTACTGTAAATTAGGGGCAATATTTTCTCTATATAGTAGTGACTTGCTACTGGCCGATGCTGGCCTCCAGATGCTCGTGAGGCATGCACACAGAGAGGGGCACATCAAATGGCTGGAATGTGGCCATCATCCAGCTGGGGTTGGTCACCAGCAGCGGAGGTTGGGCTCCAGCACACATGAGCAGCACTCATGCTAGTGTCAATGGCGTGTTGGGCGGCAGAGAGAGTGAATGGTGTCCAGGTGGAGAACTGTTGTTGCTTGAGGACAGAGTGCCCCATATTGTTTGTACAAGTAACTTGTATGGAGGTTTGACTGGACATTTAAAGAGTGAATGGTCTCTGAGATTTGCACAGCGCTGTAATTACTGTAAAAGAATTTTCAGTATTTAAAATCTTTCAAATAGTGGTGGACAAGGACAGATCAAGCAGTCGAAATACAGCTGAGGAAATAAAACATATATAAACAACACAGTTTTGTATTAGCTTCCATTTTAAGACACAACAAACGCTTAACTGGATTGACACACAAGTAAAATAGACCTATTGTGAGATAAATAGAGTCAGTGTTCTAAGTGTGCATAAGCATATACAGTTATCAAATGAGTGAGGTAATCACCTCCGAAACTGAAACTATGCAAATCCTCCTCCTCCCTTTATGAAGAGATGCTGAACAGCACTGAGAGATCTGCAGAGAAGAGCTTATCAGCTCAGACACAACCTCAACCATGTTCAGCACAGCTCTAACACTGCTGATGATCACTAGTCTACCATGTACGTCTCAGGATTAGAATAAGAGAATGAAATAGCAGAGAGAATCTTTCTGTGATCATGTTTCATTCAGAGCTTTAATTCTTCTTCTATTCTGCAGGTTTTCAGTCTGAAGCTGTGGTTAAAAAACCTGGAGAATCTCATAAACTGACCTGTACAGCATCTGGATTCACATTCAGTGACTACCGTATGGCCTGGATCAGACAGTGTCCTGGGGAAGGCCTGGAATGGATTGCATATACTGGCACTACCAGCACTCCCATCTCCTATTCCCAGTCAGTCCAGGGAAGGGTCACGACCTCCAGATCTGACTCCAGTGGTCATCAGTACTTTTAATGTATATATATTTTAATATATTATGTTATATACACATATTGGGGCAGTCATTGGCTGCAGGTTAGGGGACCAGCCTTGTGACAGGAAGGTCGCTGGTTCAATCCCTTGAATGGACAGTATGTGACTGAAGTGCCCTTGAACAAGGCACCTAACCCCCAACTGCTCCCTGGGTGCACGTGTGCTCACTGCCCCCTAGTGTGTATGTGGGGTTTCACTGCACGAAGGGGTTAAATGCGGAGGTGAAATTTCCCTATTGTGGGGCTAATACGGGTGTGTGTGTATATGTATGTATGTATGTATGTATGTATATATATATATATGTATGGGATACATATCTTTTCACATTCATACCTCCGAAGTTGTGAGGACTCAGTGGTGGCCGGTCAGCTTCTTTGTTCCATTAAAATATTATTTTTCTCACTAAAGGCTTCTTGACCGTTACATATCCTTTCACGTTGCACTTACAGAATGTTCTAAATTGTTGATTTGACCACTTCTGAGGTTTCTGTGGTCTCTCTGATAGCTTTGTTTTGTTTTTCAGCCTAATGATGGCCCCCTTCACTTGCATCGTCACCTCTTCGGACTGCGTATAGAGAGTTCCTATGAACAGCTATCAAATGCATATTCAACACTTGGAATCAACTCCAGACCATTTATCTCCTTAATTTGTTATAAATCTGAGAAAAGGCCACACCTGGCCATGAAACTGCTTATCAGTCAACTGTCTAAGTAGTTTTGAGCCTGTGATGGAGGGATTAATTAAAAAATGACTGTAATTTCTAAACGGTTAATACAATATGTTTTGCTAAACTATTGATTTAAGCTGAAAGTCTACACTTTAATCACATCTTAAACTTCATGGCAAATCCATTTTGAAGGAGAACAGCGGCAACATTATAAAAATTGAATCACTGTACAAATACTTATGGACCAGAATGCATGTAAACGATGTATGTATGTAAATAGTTTTGTGTTAGCTTCTGTTGTGTAAACTCTACTCTTGTAATTTGTACAACTCACACTGTTCCTCACTGTTACTGGTAGACAGGTTTTTTTATGTAGTTTATCTGTTAATATGTGTAACTGAAAATTTACTCATTCAAATAAAGTTACAAAATTTCTAACTTTGTTTGTTTTGTTCTGATTGCCTGCTTCAGTCCACTGCTCCCATAATCCCACTGCTGTCTCCTAAACTAAGCAAATCAAATAATTCACCATGTACTGATCAGCACATTGATTTATCAGTCTAATCAGGCTTTAGCAGAGCTCAGTAACACTGAGATCAATAACTGAACATCACATTGATTTTATCAGTCTACTCAGGCTTTAGCAGAGCTCAGTAACACTGAGATTAATAACTGATCATCACATTGATTTATCAGTCTACTCAGGCTTTAGCAGAGCTCAGTAACACTGAGATTAATAACTGGTCATCACATTGATTTATCAGTCTACTCAGGCTTTAGCAGAGTTCAGTAACACTGAGATTAATAACTGATCATACATTGATTTATCAGTCTACTCAGGCTTTAGCAGAGCTCAGTAACACTGAGATTAATAACTGATCATACATTGATTTATCAGTCTACTCAGGCTGTAGCAGACTATAAACTGTGATGATCAGTTATTAATCACTGAGACTAATAACCGATCATCACATTATCAGTCTACTCAGTATCACTGTGCTAGAGTCTCACAGTGATAGAAAACAGTGACAGAGCTGTACAAAAACACTTTCTCATTCATTTATAGAGGAGAGCTGCTGTTATTTAGTAAATGTTAATACCACTTAAAGCTTCTTTCATAAGATCTTATTTTTTACAACTATATAAGTATACAGACTAAAATGAACTGGTCCAGAACAAATGTGAAGTGCTCATATCATTTTAGTTCATTTATACTGTGTATGAAAATAAAACAGTGATTAAGCAGGAGAAAATGGTGCAATTCAGGGCACATCTGCCCACCAGAGGGCAACATGACCTCATAAATGAAGTTTTGTAGTGGGCAACTTAAGGTTGTCTTGGGCAACTTACCTTCATATCTGAAGATACACAGAACTGCACAGCAGTCAGAATCACCCTTTATTTAGTTAATAGTCGGTCTATTAACTCATCAGTGTCAGGAAGCAGAAAACATATTTAACTGAAAATTTAAATCATTTTTTCAGTATTCAGTATCTTTCTGTTCTTTGCCTTTATTGCAGCTTCTATCTTTTCAGAAGACTCATTTTTTTAATTTCTCAAAGAAATCTGGAAAGCTATTTTTCCACACCTCCAAATTTCATTTGTAGAAGTTGGTAGCATTTTTTTCTTTTTCACAGTTCAAGTCATCCTAAACATATTCAGTGACGTTGAAATTTGGACCCTGTAGTGGTCAGTCCATTGTTCTGAGAACACCTGCAGCTTTCTTGGTTGAATTGCAAATGTTCTTCTTTTTTATCTGTGTCTTTTTCTCAGTGAGGCTTCCTGACAGCTACTCATCTTTCAGATCCATAGCTCAGACTTATCTTCTCACAGTGGAAGGATGGACAGAAACACTTGTTTCCAGCTTGTAACAACAGGAGAAACTTTTTGATGGTATGTAGAACCATTTTCAAAAGGGTTCTACACAGAACCTTATACAACACATTCTCTGTCAGTCTGAAGAACCACGTCTCACTGAAACGATTTAAGCATGCAACTGGTTCTTTTGAGTGTTCATGGTTCTATGTAGAACCATTATCTTTACTAAAGAACCCTTGAAGAACTATCTTTTTAAGAGCGTACACTCTCAGATGTAACGGTATTAAACTGTCACTGGGGCAGTGCCCCTCTTGTCACTGGGGTGGGACCCTTAAGGGTACATCTCAGTACCTTTAGTCAGGGAACATAACTGTACTATAATCCACTGAAATGATATTTTCTAAGTTGCACTGACTCCACACACCCCGTCTCGTCTCCAGGCTTTTATTTTATTGTTCTGTTTTAAAACATTAGATTATGAAAATGTACAAATACGAACTTTTCACCTGGAAAAACTTAAAACCGCTGTTGTACCTTTGGGGAACATTTACGTTGTTTATATCTTGATGAATGAAAAGCTTTTGATGAAACTAGAGCAGTTCTATTTTTCAGATGCTGAGCTAAATGTGAGGTGTGCACTGTTATTAACACTACTGATGATGACAGTTATTATATTGAAAAGCGGCTGATATTTTTTAATAAGTATGTAATACAAATAATAAGTAAGTACAGTGGATAAGTAATGTGTGAAAGGAAAAGCATTATGTATGGAGAGTCCCCTGGCCCTGCCATTATGTCAGTCTACCCTGAGCTAACAACGTGAGCTAAATATCACCAGAAACAAGTCAATAAAAGGTGTGAGACGAATCCATTAATCTGCACAATTTTGTTTACCTGGGAACAATTTAGTTGAACCATTAACAAAACCAAGCTATAAACATATGAGATAAAAACACGACATGTGCTGTGAGGATTGCATCAGTCATGGCAATTACCATTAATGGTAACATGATGCTGTTTTATTACTGCGCAAAATTTTACATGACAACTCATGACAGCATTTGACCTCTGCTATGACATGTTTCTGGCATGGTCATGTCAGTGACCTGTAGCAGAGTTCAACTAAAGTGTTACAGTGTAGACTTTGTGCTCATATCAGTTCTTTTCTGAAACATTTGACCTTCTTTCTCTCTTATGAAGTTGAAATAGAGCAGCAGATTTGCATAAATTGAACCTTCATGCAAATGTTCTTCTTCTTCCTATTTATTTAGGTGTGTTGTGGTGAAGATCAACAGCTCTTTTTGGCTCCAGTACTCACCATGTTCTCTACACATCTGCTGCTGTTGCTGTTATCAGCTGTGTCCTGTAAGTCTGTATCTGAATAGATAACATTAGTTCAGCTCTATTATTCCAATAGTTTTCCTTCTAAGTGTTAATTTAACCATTATTTTTAACAGGTATTAACTGTATTGAGTTGACCCAGCCTGGATCCACGGTCGTAACACCTGGTCAGTCGATGTCACTGACCTGTAAAGTTTCTGGATATTCAGTGACTGATAGCAGCTACTGCACACACTGGATACGGCAGCCTGCAGGAAAAACTCTGGAGTGGGTTGGTGCGATATGTGGTAGCGGTCACACTTACTACAGTGATAAACTGAAAAGCAGGTTTGAAGTTTCCAGAGACACGTCCAGCAGCACAGTGACCTTAAGAGGACAGAATCTGCAGACTGGAGACACAGCTGTGTATTACTGCGCTCGTGAAGACCACAGTGAGAAACATCAACAGAAACCCTGTACAAAAACATCCTCTCTGTAGGAAAAACTGCCTCAGTTAGAGTCTTTTAAAGTGATGCTACAGTCAGTACAACATAGAACCAGTAGGTGGCGACCGTCACCAATAAATTAACTCAAATTAACACTACCACAGGGACTTGGAACATACACACGAGCACTAAGCGCATTTATAAGGCAAATAAATGAGAACATTTATGCAAGTAAAAGGAAGATATTCTATGACATGAATGACTTTTAGTGACATAAGATGATTTAAAGTGACAAACATTTGTTTAATCTATAACACTATTATTAAGCGTCATCCACAAATAATGGAACTTGAAAGGCAGATGTCCAGTTAATAGGCCCATGTATCAGTTCCATGGAAGATTCTGATGTCTTTGAACTTAAGTGATCATTTTCTTAAATGTTTTCTCATGTTTAGGAATGTATTTATACATTGTATTTGTTGTTGATGTTGGAATAAAACCTTGTATCTCCATCATTGTTGTGTACATTATTTGAAAATGTAAATGTTAGACTCTGTCAAAGACTGATGATGAGTGAACCAATAAAATGGTCAGTTTTTTTATAATTACTTACAGTGAGTGTTATGAAAGTTTTCCTTCTTCTGTAAAGTTACCATTATGGAGATGTGAGTTTCTTGTCCAACAGTGTTGAAGTGCATACTGAGGAAAGGTAAAAATCAACTTGGTAAAATGTTACTTTAGTAAATGCAGAATTTCATTGTCTGTATTTCCACTTGATTACAAAAGTACAGAACAGTACAGAACTACGTTGATCACACTGATTTGTCAGTCTACTCAGGCTTTAGCGGAGCTCAGTAACACTGAGATTAACAACTGGCTCATCACATTGATTGATCAGGCTTATAATCATATAGTGTATTTTATTTATTATATTAAATTATGAGTTTAATAGGTGGGTATTCTGAATGTATAAAATAAGAAGTAACTGGATTTTGAACACTGCCTTTATAAATTGTAACTTGGACTCAATAGAGAAACATTTAAGTGGATTTACACACGGGTGAAAAAGGCTTATTGTAAGACAAATAGTGTGAATGGAGTAAGTTCAAATAAGTACTGACAGTTATCAGATGAGTGAGGTAATCACCTCTGACACTGTAACTATGCAAATCCTCCTCCTCCTCCCTTTATGAAGAGACGCTGAACAGCACTGAGAGATCTGCAGAGAAGAGCTCATCAGCTCAGACACGACCTCAACCATGTTCAGCACATCTCTAACACTGCTGATGATCACTAGTCTACCATGTACGTCTCAGGATTAGAATAAGAGAATGAAATAGCAGAGAAAATCTTTCTGTGATCATGTTTCATTCAGAACTTTAATTCTTCTTCTTTTCTGCAGGTTTTCAGAGTCAGACTCTCACTCAGTCTGAAGCTGTGGTTAAAACACCTGGAGAATCTCATAAACTGACCTGTACAGCATCTGGATCTCATTCAGTAGCTATCCTATGGCGTGGATCAGACAGGCTCCTGGAAAAGGACTGGAATGGATCGCATATATAAGCACAGCAAGCACTCCGATCTACTATTCCCAGTCAGTCCAGGGAAGATTCACGATCTCCAGATCCGACTCCAGCAGTCAGCTGTACTTACAGATGAGCAGCCTGAATAGTGAAGACACTGCTGTGTATTACTGTGCAAGACGAGACTCACAGTGATAGAAAACAGTGACAGAGCTGTACAAAAACACTTCCCCATTCAGTTACAGAGGAAAGCTGCTGTTATACAGTAAATATTAAGAGCACTCAATGTTTGTTTTTTTAGAAGACCTACTTTTGACAAGTAAATCAGTCAT